TCACACATGTATGTGTATATGTATACGTCTTACACAATTAAACATAATTCAAAATAAAAGCTTCTCAAAGTAATACCCTTATACCTATGATAAAGTTAAATACCATTTTTCTTTATAATTAAATACAAGGTTTTTTAACCCTCAAATTCAAAAAAATTAGGAAGATTTAATTCAGTGTATAGGTATAATGTTCATGAATTTGTTCCAGTCTGGAATAAATGAGGACAATGAGCATATATGGTATACTATTAAGCCTACTATTTTAAATCTTGATTGAATCAAAATTGAAAATATGGAGCACTTGGGTGGCTCAGTTGGTTGAGCATCTGACTCTTGATTTCTGCTCAGGTCTTGATATCACAGTTCATGGGATTGAGCCCTGCATCAGGCTTTGCGCTGTGGGATTCTCTTTCTCTGCCCCTCCCCTGCTTGCACTCACTGTCTCTGACTCTCTCTCTGACTCTCTCTCTCTCTCTCTCTCTCTCTCTCTCTCTCTCAAAATAAATAAATAAATACTTTAAAAAGACATAATTTTAAAAAATTGAAGATACTTTTTCACATAACTAGGTCACTGAGTGGTAAAATAATCTTAGTGATAATTCATGCAGATAAGACTCCTGAGTGAGTTCTACACTCAAGGAGACAGGCTGCAAAGTACCTGCATACCAGGAGTTGGATCAGTGAGAACCATCTTGGAAGCTGCCTAGCACAGAATATAGAAACATAAGACAACTAAGTGTAGTGTGTGATGCTGGATTGAATTCTGGATGGGGAGGAAAAATACTGTAAGTACAATTGGGGTAGTTGATGAAATTTGAGTATGGGCTCTACATTAGATAATAGTACATCGGTGATAACTTTTCTGATTTTGATTATTCCATGGTGGTATGTAAGACAATGTCTTTGTTGTTTGCAAATATACACTGAGGTACTTATTTGAGGGAAAGCTAAGGAAATTCCTTGCATGTTTTCCTCTGATTTTGAGATCACTTCAAAATGTTTAAAGTTTAAAAATGCCAAGAGAAAGTATTTTTCACCTGAAAAAAAATATGTATGTGGTTCTTGAGTCCACATATACTGAATGCATCCTATGTATATCATGTGTTTAATCCTTCTAATATACTGTTGGGTTTCGTTTGCTAGTATTTTGTTGAGGAGGTTTGCATCTATCTTCACAAGGAATATTGGTCTATAGTTTTCTTTACTGATGTTATCTTTGTTTGGCTTTGACTTCAGAGTAATGCTGGCCTCATAGAATGAGTTAGGAAGGGTTCTCCTCTCTTCTGTTTTCTAGAAGAGTTTGAAAAGGATTAGTGTTAATTCTTTTTTAATGTTTGGTAGAATTCATCAAGCTGTCTGGTCCTGGGCTTTTCTTTGTTGGGAGATTTTTGATTACTGATTGAATCTCTTGCTTTAAGTCTGTTCAGATTTTCTTATTTCTTCTTGAGCCCATTTTTGGCAATTTCTGTGTTTCTAGGAACTTGTCCATTTTTTATTCCTTTGCAGTTTATCTAGTTTAATTTGTTTTTAAATTTTTTATATACATTTATTTATTTTTGAGAGACAGAGAGAGACAGAGCACAAGTGGGGAAGGGACAGAGAGAGAAGACACAGAATCAGAAGCAGTTTCCAGGCTCTGAGCTGTCAGCACAGGGCCTGATGTGGGGCTCGAACTCACAAGCCGTGAGATCATGACCTGAGCTGAAGTCGGACGTTCAACCGACTGAGCCATCAGGCGCCCCTTATCTAGTTTAATTTGTATTGAACAAGAATGCATTTTTACATTGTGTATATATATGTGATTTGGTTTTATGTGAATTTATACTTAAACCATACAAAATAAATCTGCCATAAAACTGCCTTCCCTTGCCTAGCATACCTGACCTAAAAGGCATTTATCATGTTGGTGTTTTGAGCATTCCATTTGCTTCACATCCTTACCAATACTTGGTATTTTCCATCTTTTGTATCTTAACCATTTTGGTAGGGATGTTCCCAGTGTTTTTGTTTGGTTTTTAATTTTGCAGGTTTTATACTGTCATCTACAAACACATTGTTACCAACAATGCCATCTGGGGTCGATCATTTTTATTGTTTTGTGTATTTGTAAAATCATTTTTAAGTTTATTTTAAAGTCTTACAGGTTTGTTTTTTTTTTTCTATTTAAAATGTGCCTCACGTCCAGTTGAATGGAGGAGTCAGCATTTTCTCTCATTTTTGTCACTATTAACACTTCCAAATCTGGTAGTTGAGCTTGCTTCATTGCTTTTCTTTTTCCTCAGAGTTTATGGTGCTTAAGGTCAACTTGAGCTAACTTAGTTAAAATAGTACAATTGCTGATAATTCAAAAAGTGTTATACTCAGTAACATCCTTTCTGAAAAATACAGTGAAAGTGTGTAACTAAACTTGGTTGAAAGAATCAGAACTTTGCCAATAGATGATAAACTTCTCATACTTTCTTTGATACTCTGCTTCATAAACTTGTAAAGTTACTCTTTAACCTTTCCATCAATCTGTGACAATCATTTATTAAAAGATCTAATGAGACAACCAGGAACATTGAAATTGAAATTGTCCATGTTCCTGGCCAATTTATGTATCCCTCTCACATGGTACCCTCACCTGGCTGCATTATTGATTGTACTGTTTATTCCATATTGAATATGTGCAACATGCTCTGTGTGGGTTATTTCTATCTTGACTTTTCTGTGCTGCTGGCCAGCCACCAAATTAACTTTATGACCCTCTAATTGATCACAACCCTCAGCTTGAAAACCATTGATTTTACTGTTATTATCATCTGCTGCAGTGAGGCCAGTCTCCCCAAATCATATGGTCTTCCAGGGATGGGGTGGATGCATGGAACACAGTCACATTTCTGTTTGGAAGGAGGAAAAGAGGGTTGGAGACTAGAGGTTAGGCAACCAAGACCGTCCAGCTACAGGGACTACTTACCAAGCATCTGGTGTGGTTTGACATATGTGGGGTTGTTTGCCTTTATTCTAATGACTCGCAACTATGACTTTTAGTTTTTCCTATTTGCTTATAGTTTTGTCTCTTTCCTCAGATACTTTTCTTGCCCCTGTCATGGTGCTTGCTGCTACGTTGTCTGCCATCTCCTACCTTCTCATTTTTAAACTGTCCCTTTTCATTTTGCTGTTTCTCATCTACTTAGGCCAAGAAGACTCTCCAGCTTCTTAAAAGTTGTGCCTCAAAAGTAATCAGGTTCTTAGCAGGGTCTTAGGTTTTTCTTTATGATCCTTTTCATGATTATGTTTGCTTGTTAGGATTTTTAAAATTACGTCTGTAGTTTTTAGCTGTGGCCTAGATAACTAGGTTATCTCTGAAATATGAGAATACTCCTGCACCCTTCAGTCTTCCAGAACAAAAACTTCTATTACTAAAAGATAATAGTGTAATTACAATCCCTAAGGACTCTATTTACTCTATGGTCTTGGTAAGAGTTTAAGGTTATCAAACTTGACCTTGTTTTCTTGAGACAAATGGGGAAGGATGCTGACCTATAGTTTCCCATCTGGGAACAACAACTAGAGTACCTTTAAGTTTAGAATTATGAATAACATCAAGTGTATTAGGAGGTACTCATTGTGGTAATCTGGCTTCAGTTAGCCAACAAATATTTACCTTCAAATACTGTGTTTCATAAATACTAAGATGCACATTTTCTGACATTTTAACATCTCTGAAATCAGGATGCTTAACAATTAATGGTGTCCTAAAAAAATAAAAAAATAAAAAATTAATGGTGTCCTATGGTTGCTGTTGGCCCCGGGGCATATCGTGGTGTAGTTTCTGTGCAAACTTGATTATTAATCTTGGAGGCATGACTGAACTGCAGGCCCTTCGCTGTTTTAGTCAACAAGCTATTGAACAATAAAACACTTAAGGATCTTTAAGGAAAGAATAGGAGTTTTGTTGCTGTCCAAAATCTCTTCTGTTGATACTTTCTGTTCAGATTAAGGTAGAACTACTACCACAGTTTACAGAATGAGCATCAGATGCTTTAAAGAAACTCTCAGAGTCTATGGAGTATAACTGTCTCAGGAAATGCTCCATGACCTGGGATCTTAAGAGTTCAAGGGCAATACTGAATGGAGAAATTTGGACATCTAAGGCTCTGAGTAAAAAAGTGGTTCAGAAGAGTTGAATGCTGAATGTGAAGAAATTTTAGAAATACCTTAACCAGTTTAGATTGCTTATATTTTCCTTTTTATCTGTGCATAATAGATGATTTAAGAACTTCCTAATAAGTCTAAAAGAATTCTTTCAGTATTTAAAAAAGTAGAATTTTCAAGTAATAAGAAAGCATCGTGTCATGATTTAACAAACAGGCAGTGTAATTTCTTTCTTAGAGGTACGTCAACTAACAGTGCCTTTGATAAGCAATAATATCTTCACTGTGATGAAACAGAGTTTGATTTACTGTCACACTTCTTGTGTATTAGTGTACTGCTTCCTACAATAATTTACGCTTTCTTCTCCTAAGAGGAACTAAGGAACAATGCACATGTGAGTGAAGGTAACACCACCAGGCAGCGTGTGAATGATGGAGACCAGTAGGTCTCAAAGTGTGTTCCTGGAAGCAGCAGGGGCAGCACCACCTGGGGGCTTATTCGCATGCAGATTCTCAGGCCCCACCCCAGACCCACTGAGTCAGCCTGTGTTTTAACAAGCCCTATGGGTGATTTTGATACCATGCTAAAGTTTGAGAGCTACTGTTCAGGCAGAATTCTGGGAAAGGGAAACTTACTGGTGCTGTTCTATTGAGGTTAGGTATATGAGTGATTTAGAGGGTAAGAAAACATAGATTCCTTAAGTTCAGCTCAGTTACATGCTCACAGTGTGTTTAAGAAAAGTGAAAAAATGTACTACGTTGTGTCTCAGCCAGCTGCCGGTGACACAGGTATATAATGGAGTAGTCCAAAACCTGCCTGTCTTGCTTTCACTTTTGGTTGACTTTTGATCTTTGTCTTTTTAGCATGACGTATCTCAGACTTTGCTCAAGGCAACACTGGACAGTGTTGTAGAAGAATGTGTCAGCTTTGTGGGAGTGGATATTAACATCTGTTCTGAAGTTTTGTTGAGGTGAGACGAGAGGTCTGTGGCTGAAGATCACAGAATCTTCAGTTTAACTGGCTGTTCAGTTCCAACTGAGCTAACGTAAGGAGACACATGTATGAAGTTGTCAAGTATAAAAAACCTCTGAGTTCCTACCTTGCTCTAGGTAATCAGTTTGAGGGGAAGACATCGTTCAAAAAAAGACTTATAACAATTCACATTATCCTTTTTAATACTGCAAATCTAAAGTGAAGAGCATATGGTAACCATTGAGTGCATTAGTGTTGCTAATAGAACTTAAATAAGGTTAACATGGAAAAGAGCTGTTTCCCACCACATGAGAGTAGATATTTTTCACTAGTTCAGTCTCTTGCATACATCTGTCAAAGCTGGCAGTAACCAGAAGATAAATTCTGAGGGTTCAAAATATGGTTACCATATTTTTACCTGGAATCTGCAAGTCACATATCAAAATCTTTATCGTACTATAATCATGTCTTATATACCCTTTTTAGTGTGGTTATAGAAGAGCTGCTTTTTTCCGTTCATAGTTTGGCATTTATTACACAAGTCTGCTGATGCAGCATGAAATTCTGGACCTCTGTAAAAGATCTAGACTTCTTTGCTTTGAGATTAGTATAGCAGAAAATATCCCTTACATTTTAAGGTGTTGACTTTCTACCACAGCTACAAACATTCCATACTTTCATGTATAAAATTCAATAATAGAATTAAGAATCTCTTAAATAGTAATTTTTAAAGTTAGCACCAAGCAAACTACCTAATGATAGAGTTTTTATATATATATATTTTTTTAATTTTTTTTTCAACGTTTATTTATTTTTGGGACAGAGACAGAGCATGAGCGGGGGAAGGGCAGAGAGAGAGGGAGACACAGAATCGGAAACAGGCTCCAGGCTCCGAGCCATCAGCCCAGAGCCTGACGCGGGGCTCGAACTCACGGACTGCGAGATCGTGACCTGGCTGAAGTCGGACGCTTAACCGACTGCGCCACCCAGGCGCCCCGAGTTTTTATATTTTTAAACTAACCAGGACAGTCATGACTTTCTATAGTTTAAGGCTTTATGTTAATGAGGATAGGCTGATTAAAAAAAAAAAATAGGGTACTACAACACAGCTGAAGCTATTGTAACTTTTGCTTCTAACTCACTTTGTAAACTAAACAGGAATAGGCAGAATTATTACTTGATTCAGAAACACGAGGAACATGAATAGTATAGAATTACTGTGGGGAACAATTCTTTTCTTATCCCAGTGTCCATCAGTTTAACCAGCATCTTTATGACAGCTGCTGGCTTTGTCATTAGTTTGCATTGTGTTGTCCTTGCCTCCTCTTGGACAACTCTTTCCCCTTTGTCTTTTTTATTTAACTCCCCTTTGGATTTACTTAGAGCCATATGACAGTATGTAATTGCAATGGTTTTTATGATGAATATCGTTGACTTTCCAGATGAGATCTTTTCTTTGATTATTCTTAGAACTATTGTATCTACCACATTATTCATTTTGTTTATTTTTTTAGGCATATTGCAGGACTCAATGCCAACCGAGCCAAAAATATTATTGAATGGCGAGAGAAAAATGGACCCTTTGTCAACCGAGAACAGCTAAAAAAAGTGAAAGGGCTGGGTCCGAAATCTTTCCAACAGTGTGCTGGCTTCATCAGAATCAACCAGGATTATATTAGAACATTTTGCAGGTGATTATTAAAGTGTGCGCTTTGGGTTCTGTTACCAACCTTCTCTGTTACTGTTGCCCATCCTGCTCACTGGCCTAAATACTAGGTGTCCATTTGTTCAGTCCTTCAGTATACGTTGACTCTAATCTTTGCTCGGCACTGGGAATCCAGCAGTGAACAAATCAACAAATTCCATGTTCTCGTGAAGTTAAATTTTAACACATGAGGCAAACAATAAATAAACCAGTAAAATAAATAGTTTCAGATGTAGTAAATATTATACACATTAAAACAGAGTGATATGACACTGTCTTGGGGAGCGGTACAACTGCTTTCAATGAGTTATTCATTGAAAAGTTATTTGAGCTGAATTTTGAATGAAATGAAGGAGCTAACCACACAGGGATTAGAAGGAAAGCATTATAGGAAGAGCATGCGGGCTGTGTGCAAGGTCCTAAGGCACGACCAAATTTGGTGTATTCAGGAAATGAAACTAAGGCCAATGTGATTGGAGCATCACAAGTGGGAAGGACCGGTACAAGAAGAGGTGACAAAGAGGACTTCACAACAGCCACTTCATATTGACAGCTGTTTCCCTAAGTATACTTGGGCCTCCCCACACCCTCCTCCCTGAAAAGTGACCAAAGCATAATTGTCAGTTATGTAGATTGAGAGCTAAATTCTTGCTCTTAATTTCTAATCCTGATAGCACAAAAGCAAAGAATTTGGGTAAACTTCGCATTTTGTAATCATGAAAGAATAGTTTTTATGTACTTGCTACTTTGGGACTACCTGTCTATATTCGTTTCTATTATGTTTTTCTTTTGACAAAATTATAATAAAGGGGCGCCTGGGAGGCTCAGTCAGTTAAGTGGCCGACTTCAGCTCAGGTCATGATCTTGCAGTTTGTGAGTTTGAGCCTCACCTTGGGCTCTGTGCTCAGAGCCTGGAACCTGCTTCGGATTCTGTGCCTTCCTCTCTCTGTGCCCCTCCCCTGCTTGTGTCTGTCTCTCTCTCTCAAAAATAAGTAAACATTAAAAAAATTTTTTTAATAAAAAATTATAATAAAAGTAATATGGAAAAATAATCTTTAGTCTGGCAAAGACTAATAAGGGAAAACCAGACCCACTGGACAGTAATAATAATAATAATGGAAAACCAGCCCCACTGATAATAATAATATTAATAATATAAAGTTATAGTTACATAACTGGTTTTGATGTAGAAATAGATGAGAATAGAGTCTGCAATTCACCAAAATATAGACAGAATTTAGTTTATGATAAAGGTGGAGTTTCAAACACTGGTATTATGACAGCTGGCAGGAATTTGATATGTGTAGGGGAAACTGTAGTTGCACCTCATACCTTATACCCAAATAAATCCCAGATGGATCACAGACTTAAAAAGAAGAAGTGAAACTGCAAAAGTACCAGGAGACAACATGGGTAAATTTTGCAGAGGATTGGAGTGGCAGAAGGCCTTTTCTAAGTAGACCACAAAACCCAGAAGCCAGAAATGAAAAACAACTGAGGATAAAATAATCCCATGTTTCTTAGTTTATATGTTTTTTTGAACACTTAGTTAGAACAGTATAAAAAAATAAATGAAAAGGAAAGAGTACCTCAGCTTCTGACTTCAAATAATTTCTTATATATTGCTTCCTGAAAGTAAATTTATACTTATATCAACTTGTATGTTTATTATTTAAAAATTCAGAGGCATCTGGGTGGCTCACTGGGTTCAGCATCCAACTCTTGATTTTAGCTCAGGTCATGATCCCAGGGTTGTGGGTGCTGCTCTGAGCGTGGAGCCTACTTAAGATTCTCTCTTGCTCTCTCGCTTTCACTCTCCCTCTCCCTCTCTTGCTCTCTCCCTCCCTGTGCCCCTCTCCCCTGTTTGCATGCTCTTTAGGGAAAAAAAAAAAAAAAAGGATTGTGCTATACAACTATTTGCAACTTGCTTTATTTGTTTCAGTAATACATCTTGGTTTTCTTTCCACATATTACATATAGATATAGATCATTATTTATGGTGTCTGCATAGTATTTAGTTTGTGGGGGAAACCATAGCTTAATCTAATCAGTATCCTATTGATGAACATTTGAGTTATTTTTAAAGCCTTATATTTTTTCAACTGATAATGAAGTACTTGAAGTTTCATGACTGTTACATCTTCTTGATAACTCATACCTTTGTTCGAAATGGACTTTTGCTACCTCATTGAGTGTTTTGTGCGTTGAAATCTATTTTGTTTGCTAGCTATGTTGCTACACTTGCCTTTTCAGTATGCTTGGTATTTTTTTATTTTCAAACTTTCTATGACATTTAATTTTTGTTACAACTCTTGTAGATCAACAGATTTCATGGGTTTATTCAATTTTATATTAATACATTCACATTTACTACATTTATTGATATTTTGGACTTCATCTACCGTATATTTTCTCTTCATCATGCTTTCTGATTTTCTCTCATGCTGTTTGTTGGATTTCTCAGCTAACAAGTTTTCCTTATTTTTCCACCTCATTTTTATCTCCCCTTAGTGATTTCAAGTTGTTTGTGTTTCTCTGGTGATTATCCTTAAGTGTGATTTGGACTGGCCTCTGCAGTTAATAGGTGTCTCTGTCCTCCTCCCGGAATAGACTAGCACCTTAGGACTCTTCCCAGCCTCTTTCCTTCAGCTGTATGTCCCATGATGAGATGACTTGGGATTTTAGTTTCAGACTATCCTATATATGTGTGTGTGTGTGTATGTATATATATATATATATATATACATACACACACACACATATATTTATATATTTATAAATATACATATATTTATATATATTTAAATACATATATTTATATATTATATATTTATAAATAAACATATTTATATTTATTTATTTTGAGGGAGGGAGAGAGAGTGGGTGAGCAGGAGATGGGCAGTAAGACAGGGAGACAGAGAATCCCAAGCAGGCTCCATGCTGTCAGCGCAGAGCCCAACATGGGGCTCAGACTCACAAACCACGAGATCATGATCTGAGCCCAAATCAAGAAGCAGATGCTTAACTGACTAAGCCTCCCAGGTGCCCCTATACATATATTTTTTACATTATTCATGAGCAGTTTTTTAACGTAGCAAGATTTTATAGTTTCTGTGCTCATCACTGTTTCTTGTAGCCCACACGATCACTCTTCTTGAATTTGTTGTTTTTGCTGGAATGTATTCTTAAATTCTTTTCAGAGAGAGTACATATATTATATGGGTTCTACTTCAATCCTTACATGTCTGAAAACAATTGTAATTTGCCCTCCTATCTGAATGCTAGTTTGGCGAAGTATATGATTCTCGATTCAAAATCATTTTCTCTCAGAACTTTTAAGATACCAGTTCACTGCATTCTAGCATCTGCTGTTTATCAGGGAGTAATCTGATGCCAGTCTAATTCTAGTTCCTTAGGAAGTATTCTGTTTTATTTTTCTTTCTTGATTCTTAAGTCCTATTCTAAAGTTGCCCCACAGTATGTCAAATCTGAGTCTTTTCCCATTCATCCTATTTTGTACTCAGTAGGTTCTTTTAATTTGGGAACTTGTATTTTTCTTCAGTTCTGGGAAATTGTTTTCTCTTTCTCCTTCTCCCTTTCCTTTTTATTTATTTCTCTGCGTTTTTCTCTGTTCTCCCCTAGAATGCCACTTTTACAGGCTAAATCAGTAAAGAATATTTTTGGCTTTAAGTAACAGGAAACTCTGTTAACAATGTTTAAGCAAATATGTGATAATTTCTATGAAGGGAATGGTCAGAATGTGGGTGCTGTTTGTGCGTATTTGTGTGGCAGAACAATAAGCACATTTTAAAGACTTTTCTTTTCTTCCCAATTTTCCCTTCCTTCCTACTCCTCGCCTCTTTCAATGGTGATAGTAGTCAGCAAACCGAATCTGCGGGCCAAATTCAGGGAGTTGCTGTGACATCTTCAGCAGGTGTTGAGGTCACAAATGAGAAGCAAGGCAAGAAGAAGAGCAAAACTGCAGTAAATGTTGTACTGAAGCCAAATCCTTTGGACCAAACTTGTATTCACCCGGAATCGTATGACATAGCGATGAGGTAAGTCTGAGGTCCATGTGAGAATTCTCCGTGCCCAGAGTGAGTTCTCTACAGCAAACGGCCTTTGTTTTGGCATAATGGAGACTTAAAAAATATGGCCATATTTAACATGACAACATTTTTCAGAAGTTCCGCATTGCTGAGTTATGTGACACATTATTTTATTTCAGTGAGGAATGAAACCATTATTCCTGGAGCAGTGTCAAGCTAATAAACCCTGGTACTAATGGTGAAGTGTGTGTAATGGAAATTGCATGGCACTCTCCTCTGTTTATTTTGGAAATTAACAAGACACAAATGACTAGCACCTGGCTTAAAGCTTGTGCTTATCTAAAGATAAAGCCCTTTTGGAAGTAAACAGCCAACTCTCAGATTTCTAATAAGTATTGCCCAGCTAGGTTATTACAAAGTCTAAGAAATGATGTACTTTTAATAAGCATTCATTCCGCAGAATGATATGGCGGAGGTTTTTGAGTACATGGAAAGATTTAATGCTAGGCATTAAAAGAAAAAAAAATTAGCACCACATTGAATTAGTTTAAAAATTTTTAATTAGTGCAGAAACTGTCTCGCTACATCACTAAATAGTTTAAGGCTTTTAGTGAGTTAAATAACAGTAGGTTTTAAGATAGTGAGTATTTTAACGTTCATTGAATCTGAAGTGAGATTTTTAACTTGTTTTGAGAAAATTTATATTTGATTATTTTAGTAAATGGAAATTGTTTTCTTTTTTAAAAGATGTTTGAAATTATAGATTATATAGCACATGATAGAGAACTTAGAAAATAGGGGAAAAAAAGAAGTGAAAAATAATATTCTGTCAACATCAAAACAGTGGTACCTGTTTTTCCCCCAGCATTTTGTTATGGAAAAATTTAAGCATAAAATTGAAAAAACAAAGTTTACAGTGAATTCCTGTATACCCACACCTAGATTTTATCATTAACATTTTATTATGCCTGTTTTTCCACTTACCTGTCCATCTATTTGTTCCTCAGTCCTTCTTATTTTATGTATTTCAAAGAAAATTGCAGACATCAGTATACTTTCAACTAATACTTCAGTATGTATATCATTAACCAGAATTCTGATTATTAACAACATTTTTTCCTTTGAGGTCAAATTCACCTACGATTAAACTTTAAGTGTATATTAGCTGAGTTTTGGCAAATACTTATATGTGTATAACCCAAACTCCTCTTGAGATAAAACAAACACACAAACAAACAAAAAAACCTTGCCATCATCCTAAAATCTTTCCCCATCCTGGACAATCCCTGTCCAAGCCTCCTGGAGCTAACTGCATGTTCTGACTTTTTCTGCCAAAGGTTACTTTGCCTCTTCTAGAACTTCTTATAAATGGTGCCATACAATTGTACTCTTGTGTAAGCCTTCTTTCAGCCTAAAGTTTAGAGATTTTTATCCACGTTGTAACAAGTTTGAGTGGCCTGTTTCTCTTTATTGCTAATATTTCATCGTATGAATGTACCACAGTTTATTCTCCTTATTGAAATACCTTTACTATTTCCAATTTTGGGCTGTTATGAGTAAAGCTGCTATGAATATTCTTATACAGTTTTTGTTGTTGACATTTGCTTCCATTTTTCTTGGAAAAATACTTAGGAGAGGACTTTCTGGCTCCATAAGGTAGGTGAATGTTTTAGTATTCTTAGAAACTTGTAGCCAATGCCATTTTGCACTCCCATTAACAATATATAAGAGTTCTGGTTACTGTGCACCGTTATCATCATTTGATGTTAGTCTTTTTCATTTTAGCCATTCTCTTATGTGTGTGGTAGAATCTCTTTGTGGTTTTGATTTGCATTTCTCTGATGACATTGAGCACTTTCTCGTGGGCTTATTAGCCATTGACGTACCTTCTTTTGGAAACTGTTCATATCATTTAACCATTTTCTAATTGAGTTGTTTACCTTTTTATTATTGGGTTGTGGGAATTTTTTAAATGTATTCTGGGTATTAGTCTTTTGTGAATATATGTTTTGTCCTGGGTTATTGTTTACCTCTTTATTTTCTTATTGGTGTCTGTTGATGAGCAGAAGTTTTAAATTTCGATGATGTCTAATATATTGATATTTTCCTTTTATAGTTATTGCTTTCTGTGTCCCGTCTGAGAAACTTTTGCTACCTCAAAACATTTTTCAGCGTTTTCTTCCAAAAGCTTTTAGGTCTGTGATGCATCTGAAATAACAATTCATGTATGATTTGAAGTAAGGATCAAGGTTCATTTTCTTTTGTCCATTACGAACATTCAGTTTTTTTGGCACCAAGTTTGAAAAACAACAACACAACTTTGTTTTTTACCCGTTGCTTTGGTGGCTTTGTTGCAAACCAAGTGACTGTGTAAGTGTGGGTCTCTTTCTGGCTCTCTTCTTGTTTCATTGATCTGTTGGTCAGTACCATACTATCTTGGTCTCTATAGCTTTATGCTAAGTTTTGAAGTCCGAGAGTGTTAGTCCTCTATCTAATTTTTTTTTAATACTACTCTGAATATCATAGATGATTTGTATTTTCCTGTACATTTTATAGTGAGCTTATCAAGTTTCATTAGAAATGATCGAGTTATGATTGGGATTACATGGAGTCTGTAGGTGAATTTAGGAATAGTTGATGTCTTCATCATACTGAGTCTTTTCACCATGAATTTATCACATCTTTTCACTTATTTTGGTCTTTCATTTCTCGCAGCAGTGTTTTAAAATTTCCACTGTACAGGTCTTATCTTGCATGTATTTTATGTTTTCCAACTTATAAGTGGAATTTTTTGAATTTGTTGCTAATTTTTGCTAATATGTAAAAATACAATTAATTTTTCATAGCAACTATGTATCCTGCAGCCTTGCTAATAAGTTCACATACTAGTTCTAGTAGGTGTTTGTAGGTTCTTTAAGTTTTCCTACATAAACAATTATGTTACTAGCAAATAGATGGAAGCTTTACTTCCTCTTTTTTAATCTTAATGCTTTTTCCTTTTCTTGCCCATTGCAATGGCTGGGACCTTTAGGACTCTGTTGAATAGGAGTGGTGAGAGTGGACTTCCTTGTCCTGTTCTCAGTCTTAGAACATGGTTCTCATTTTTTTGATATTAAAAGAAAGTGTGGTCTCATATTATAGTAATTGTGTGTGGTCTCATAGTAATTGTGTTTTAAGTGTTTGTTGTTTGAGAAGATGCACGTGTACTGCACATGATTGTATACACTTCTTGCAACAGCTGACATCTTCATGGGTACTAAGTCAGCATTTTGTTATATGCAGCTCAGTGTCTTTTTAATAATGTATATTTTTGTTTGTTTTCCTAATATAGTTCTAATATAGTTTATAAATTTTTCAGCTTGCCTTCTAACATAAACACAATTTTTTATTTTATTTCTGCCTATCTCTCTTTTTAAAAAGCTGGGTAATATTCCATCACATGATTGAAGTATAATTTGGTAATAGCAGTGGTTCCTCCTGATGGATGGATTCCTAGAAGTGGAATTACTCTGCCAAAGGGTTTGAGAGTTTATGTGGCTCTTGATATACGTTGCCAAGTAACATACCAATTTGTAATGCCACCAGCAGTGTTGAAGCTGGAGAAATCTTGAATTTCTCCTTTTAAGCAGGACTTTTCTGCCAGTTTTCACATGGGCCACTGTCTGCATGTGGAGCATAAAAGCCCTAGCAGCCCTACCCGTCTCTATGCTTCCTTTTGGGAGTAACCTTGTCTCTCAGAAGGAGGATACTTGTAGACTATTTCATGGGAAGTTGTTTTCTACATGAAGTTCAACTCCGGACCTTTAAAATCTGGCAGCAGAACTAGTAATTTATCTGATTAAGCTTACCATCCCCATTATCCACCTTGGAACGATGATAGTCATTTCTGGCTTTCAAGCATACTTAGTATAGACGTCACTGAACATATGTAGCTTATACTTTCATATAGTGTTACACAAGGATCTTCCCAGGGAAGGAAAGCTCATAAAGCTTATGGGTAGGTCATCTTTGGTTTGACCTCTGTTCTGTAAAAGTAAGTTCGACTGCAGTAAAGTTCATTTTTAGTTACATCAGAAAACCAGTAGGAATGTAATAATTGGCTTTCATATCCCCCTACCATAATGTCACTCCCAGAAATACACCAAGATATGAAGCTGTTAAGGCTTTTTACTTCTGTATTTATGGTATTCTTTCTCACATAATATTTAGAAATCGTGATACTTTTTAACCTAACTTAGTCATTTAGTGGTTCTTTAAAAAGTCTATTTTTAAGCTATTTTTATTATTTATATTACTTTTTAAAAGTTTTATTTTACCAGTTTTATTTACATGTAGGGATTCTCTGTTAAATATTGATGTGATTTGTTGTGTGTTTTCTAGTTTGTTTACCTTTTTTATCTCCTTACAATGCTATTTTGTTTTGAAATATGGATATTTAGCTTCTTTTTGCTTTTATGCAAATTGGTATTCTCTTAATATAACTGATCTCTAAGATCAATACAGTATTTCCTATACTTTTTTCATGTTCTTTGTGGTTTTGGTTTTTTACTCTATGAATTGTATTGATGATTTTATTTATTGTTTGGAATGTACAGAGCATTGTGGTAGGGCCTGAAGAATATGAAAATGAATGGAGGCACTTCATGCTTTCAGGGAACCTACCAAAGTAGAATAAAACTTACAACTAATCATAAGAGGTCAGCAGTCAATGCCCTTTGTGAAGCACAAAGGTGTTCACCGGACTGAGAGGTCATTGTCCAAGGGGATTGTCTTGTAAGGGCAAGATGACTTGAGGCATTTGGATTGAGAAACTGAGAGGATGAACTGCTCTATCTGAGATGAGGAAGACCATGGTTGGAGCCAGGTTTGGGGGAAAGACCAGGAACTGGGTTTAAAGCATGTCCGGTTTGAGGCATCAAGCAGGGAGTTGGATGCACGAATCTGGAGTTTGGAAGAGCGGACTGGGCTGAGGATATTAATTTAAGACCCATGTATTTATGCAGGTCCTT